TGTGCCAGTGCTGGGGCTTGAACTCAGGCCTTGGGTACTGTCCCTTAGCTTTCTCTACTCAAGGCTGGTGCTCTACCATTTGATCCACACCTTCAGTTCTGGATTTTTGTTGGTTAATTGGAGTTAATAGTCTCACAGTCTTTTCTGCCCATATTGGCTTCAACCCATCATCCTCAGATCACAGCCCCCTGAGTAGCTAGGATAATGGGTGTGAGCCACTGTCTCCCAGTTAAAAGGGGTCATTCTAATATCTTCCAGCTCTTGCCAGGCCTGCCATGGTGGCCTCACAGAGTAAGGGGCTTTGTAACTGTTTCACACTAAATTCTAATCTTCCCTCTCTCCTTCACAGACACCATCAAGGTTGTTTTTTGGTTTAGTTTTTATGTTTTGATTTTGAGAAAGGGTCTTGCTAGGTAGCCCAGAAGATCCCCAATTCTGCTTCTAATTCACAGGTCCTGGGATTATGGATATCACCATCATGTCTTCTTGCAAATTGTGGTGCGTTTTGATTTGGTTTGATTTAGTTAATTATTTATTTATTTTTGGTTGGTTGTGGGCCTGAACTCTGGGCCTGGGCGCTGGTCCCTGAGCTCTTTAGCACTCTACCACTTGAGCCACAGCACCACTTCCGGCTTTCTCTGCTTATGTGGTGCTGAGGAATCAAACCCAGGGCCTCATGCATGCAAGGCAAGCACTCTACCACTGAGCCACCTTCCCAGCCCCTAGTTTAGTTTAGTTGTTTTTTTTTTTAATGTGGTACTGAGAATAGAATTCAAGGGACTGATATTTTCATCTCTAGGAGATTTTTCAAAGTACCATTTCATTTCCTGGACTTGTTGTACCTCTCATATTTTCATCAAGTGTGTTGTATAAAACCCGCATAGGCCCCAGGTTCTCTGAAAAGCTTGACATTTCTCACATTTCAGGGGCCAGTGGTCTAGGAAGCACCTTAGTGTAAAATTCCCTCACCAGCCAGAATGAGCTGTACTGTGGGAAGTTTTAGGATATTCCCTGCTAGTGGGCGTGGCTTCTGTTTTCCTGGAATTCTGATTCAGATGCTTTAACCCAAAAAGGCAAAGCCCACTTCAGAAATCAGCTTCTGGGCTGGGAATGTGGCTTAGTGGTAGAGTGCTTGCCTATCATGCATGAAGCCCTGGGTTTGATTCCTTAGAACCACATAAACAGAAAAGACCAGAAGTGGCACTCTGGCTCAAGTGGTAGAGTGCTAACCTTGAGTAAAAGAAGCTCAACGACAGTGCCCACGCCCTGAGTTCAAGCCCCAGAACTGGCCAAAAAAAAAAAATCAATTACCTTAATCTCTTTTTGGTTTTTAGATTTTGTCTTACTTTTATTAGTTATTTATTTTGTGCCAGTCCTTGAGACTTGAACTAGGAACTGTCCCCGAGCATTTTTACTCAGGGATAGTGTTCTATCATTTGAGCTACAACTCTACCTGTCTCTTTTTGTAGTTAAATGGAGATAAGAGTCTCATGGACTTTCCTGTCGGGCCTGGTTTTGAATAGTGATCCTCAGATCTCAGCTTCCTGAGTAACTAGGATTACAGACAGGAGCCACCAGCCGTGGCTGATCATTTTATCATTTTTAAATTGTTTTTATTGTTATTATAAAGGTGATATACAAAGGGGTTTCAGTTACATAAGTCAGATAAAAAAGACATTTCTTTTTGGACAATGTCACCCCTTCCCTTGCTCTCTCCCTGTCCTCACCCACAAGTTGTCATTCTCAGCATAATGTCTAGTGAATACCACTGCTTCATTTGTTTACCTTTTGTCCCTCTATTTGTGTCCCTCCACCCCTTATCCTTCCAAGACAGATAAACCAGACAAAAAGAAAACATAAACAACAAAGTTAAAAAAAAGCTCTTGTCTCCGTTTCCTGGTGTTCATTTCAATGATTTTTTTTTTTTTTTTTTTTTGTCATGACACCTGAACTCTGGGCCTGGGCACTGTCCCTCAGCTCTTCAGCTCAAGGCTAGCACTCTACCACTTGAGCCCAGTACCACTTCCAGCTTTCTCTGCTTATGTGCTGCTAAGGAATCGATCCCAGGGCCTCATGCATGCAAGGCAAGCACTCTACCACTGAGCCACCTTCCCAGCCCCTCATTTCAATAAATACTATCTTATATGATCAGAGGAACATAGCGTTTGTCTTACTTTTAAACAGAGTCTTGCTTTATAGTCTAGGCTGACCCCAGAACTGACGATCATCCTCTGCCTCCACCTTCTCATGGTTGGGTTTATGGGCTCATCATGTCTAGCTAATCTTAACTTGGGAGCAGAGCTCCCTGTATGTTACATAGTATGTGTTTTTCTTGTCCCATTTTATGTGCTATTAAGAGCTATCCTGTCTCATGGGGGCGCTAACAGAGCTTCCCCTCTGCATTGTGCACACTGGGGTTGGATTGTTCTCTAGGAGAGCATCCTGAGCAATGTCGTTGGCCTTCATCCAACTCGATGCCAGGTGTTCCTCAGTCGTTATAGTCACACAAATCCCCACACATGGCCCATGGTCCCAGGGGGTAATGGGAGGAATGGCCACTGCTCCCATGTTGGGGGGAGGGCAACACTCCCTGGGCTACCTGGTAGGGCTGGAAGAAGGAAATGGGTGTGAAAAGCTCAAAGCAGGACTCTCATATCTTTCTGTGGCAATGAAAGGCTTATTTGCCTCCCTCCCCCCCCCACCCCCCCTCAAAAAAATATGAGTCAGGCTGCCAGCTCTGTCTGGCTATGTTTCTGGTTTTAGAATTGTCCAGGTAACTGGTTGCACCCAGGGCTGAGTCCTCCAGGGACCTAAGCTAGGCTGAGCACAGATGGGTCATGTATCAGGAACCCGCAGAAGCTTTCTGGGAAGTCCCTTGTACAGCAAAAGAGGAACTGGAAAGCTACTGATCCGATGTAGAGGCACGGGGCCTTATCTGGAGACATGTGTGGCTGTCACAAATGGGGAGCCCCTAGCATGGAGTGGGTGGAGGGCAGAAATACTACTCAGCACTGTGTAGGGCCCAGGACACCCCCACAGAGAATCGGCAGACCTAGTATCCATGGTACCCAGAGGAACCATGGTCTAGTAGAAAATGCACTGGATTTGGAAACTTTTTTTTTTTTTTTTTGTCAGTCGTGGGACTTGAACTCTGGGCTTGGGCGCTGTCCCTCAGCTCTTCAGCTCAAGGTGAGCACTCTCCTGCTTGAGCCACACTCACACTTCCAGTTTTTCTAATGGTTTATTGGAGATAAGAGTCTCTGGGACTTTCCTGCCCTAAGTAGCTTTGAACTGTGATCCTCAGATCTCAGCCTCCTGAGTAGCTGGGATTACAGGCGAGAGCCACCAGGCCAAGCTGGATTTGGAATCTTAAGGATTAAGGTTCTAGCGCCACCTCAGACCCTTATCTATTTGCACTCAAGAAAGCAGTGACTTCAGCTTCCTAATCTGCAGAATGCTAGTTCTCTGCCTACCAGAAGTGCTAAATGTCATGGAGATCTTCCCAGTATGCATTATTATTGGCAGCTCTCAAAATGAGAGTTAAAAGGCCGGCATGGTGGCTCATGCTTGTAATCCTAGCTACTCAGGAGGCTGAGATCTGAGGATCACAGTTCAAAGTCAACCCGGGCAGGAAAGGCTGAGAGACTCTTATCTCCAATAAACCAGAAAACCAGAACTGGCACTGTGGCTCAAGTGGTAGAGCACTATCCTTGAGCTGAAGAGCTGAGGTACAGTGCTCAGGCCCAGAGTTCAAGCCCCATGACCAACAACAACAAAAGAGAGTTAAGAATTGTCTCCTTGGGGCTAGGAAGGTGGCTAAGCGGTAGAATGTTTGCCTCACATACATGAGGCCCTGGGTTCGATTCCTGCGCACCACATAAACAGAAAAGGCCAGAAGCGGCACTGTGGCTCAAGTGGTAGAGCGCTAGCCTTGAGCTGAAGAGCTCAAGGACAGCGCCCAGGCCCAGAGTTCAGGCCCCATGACCAACCAAAAAAAAAAAAAAGAAAAGAAAAGAATTGTCACCTTTGCCCAAGGTGTTGGTGGCTCATACCTGCAATCCTAGCTATTCAGGGGGCTGAGATCTAAGGATCATAGTTCAGAGCCAGCTTGGGCAGAAAAGTCTGTAAGACTCTTATCTCTAATTAATCACTGAAAAGCCAGGAGCTGTGGCTTAAATGGTAAAACTGTAGCCTTGATTCAAAAGCACAGGGACTGTGCCTGTTTCTCTAGAGCCAGGCAAAACAGATTGACTTGCAGTGGCCAAGAAGAAATAAAGGTGTGCTTTCTACCTGGTCTGCCGGACACTTTACACCAGGAGTCTTATCCCTGCTATATGGTACTCATAAAAGAAAGAGAAAGAAGAAATAGTGTCACAAAGAACAAAGCATTTTTTCTGCACCTCTGCATATGTGTGTGTCTGTCCAGGCTTTCTGAAATCCTCAGATCTCAGCCCCTGAATAGCTATGATTACAAACATGAGCCAACAGGCTCAGTTACTTTTTTGTTTCTGTTTGCAATGCTAGGGATGAACTCAAGGCCTCAAGCATGCCAGACTAGTGCTCACCACTAAGCCATACCCCAGCCCCAGGATTAAGGTTTTCATGCAGAGGGGACTCTAGATCCCTCACTGCCTTTAGTCAGTCGGACAAATTCTAGGCTTTGAGCATATTCCAACCAAGTATTGGGCTTCCAGGCTGGGAGGTTAGTGTTGCACACTGATCAAGTACATGGAGCTAACCTCTAAGCTTAGGCCCTGTTCCCCACGATGGTGACAGGATGTGAAAGACTCCGGAAGGAAGTGGGTGACTGTGGGCTTGTGAGCTGCCTGCCACACCTCAGCCAAGGAAGGGTCATGACAGTTGGTTGTCTGTATTGTTGTGCTTTACTTTCAGAAAAAGAAAGGGGTGGGGGAAGGAAAAGGGTTTATGCAGGGGGAGCTTGTCATATTATCTTTTTTCTTCTTGAAGTTTCCAAGTGTCTTCTGTCTCATCTGTCCTAGGGAAGACCATCGGAAGAAGAGAATTTGAGAAGCTATTGTAAGTACACTAAGAAGATTGAAGAGGAAAGGAACCCCAAAAAAGGTGACAACTGAGACTTGGAGGGGCAGTGATGGGGAGATTGTCATTCAGGCCCAGCCTGGCCTCCTATCACAGTCTGTGGGCAAAAGCAACTTCCCATAGCCAGAGTCCGCCCCTTGGTGTCGTAGAAGCCATGTTTATTTCTGACAGAAACCTTTGACTTTCAAAGGGCTTATTCCCTTTCAGGAAATTTCTAGGAAAAAAAAAAAAAATACTTTCAGGGGGCTGGGAAGGTGGCTCAGTGGTAGAGCGCTTGCCTTGCATGCCTGAGGCCCTGGGTTCGATTCCTCAGCACCACATAAGCAAAAAGAAAAAAGCCGTAAGTGGCGCTGTGGCTCAAGTGGTAGAGCGCTAGCCTTGAGCTGAAGAGCTGAGGGACAGCGCCCAGGCCCAGAGTTTAGGCCCCACGACCAGACCCCCCCCCAAAAAAAAAAAAAAAAAACTTTCACCTAAAAAAAAAAAAAAAAATTCTCCCATTTTGTAAAAGTAGCCAAGAGTGGGAGCACTTTACCCATTCTAGAACATTTTCTAGAACAATCCTGATAGATGGGCACAATGTTGTAGAGAAGGCCTATGGAGATCCTTGGTGGTTTGGTAGGGACATGACCAGAGAGATTGGTCATCTTTTCCCCGAGACCCAGCCTGGGAGACATCTCCAGAGACTATGACAGTGTCACAGGGGCTGTGGAGGCCCCATAAGATGTCACATCCTGGTGACAGACTTCTTTCAACCTGTCCTATTCAGGTGACACTAGTGGAAGGAACTCCCAAAACTATCCCCCAGAAAAGCCCCAAAATAAACAAGAGGGCTGCCCCTGGCCAGTGGCAAGTCAGGACAAATGAGGAACCCAGAGACAAAGGAGGAACCTTGGGCCCTGCTAATTTCTCCTTACTGGAAAGAGGCTAATAGCCATATCCTGTGAACAGCGGGATGATGTAGCTGGACTTCCAGTAAACAGTCTAGGGCTTCCTTAGTGGCAGAGTGGATCACCTAGACAGGAGTAGATCACTGGAAAGGTTGGCAGCCACAGCTGAGGAATACCAGGAAGGCTTGGCCACCCTGATAAAGCTGGAGAATAGCCAAGGCTATTCTGATTGGGCACCTCAAACATGGAGAAGCATGTTACCATATGTTGGACGAGATGGAGGAATATTGGAATCTCTGGGAGTTAAAGTGCCAGGGAGGCATGTGTCACCTCCACCCATGCAGTCAGGGTCTGTGCCCTGTCCCTCTATCCATCAGCTATGTGAACTGAGGTGCTGGCTGCCATCTAACATGGAGGGTTCACCTGGTAATGCTGCCCTTAAGGCCAGTGATATCTGAAGAGATATCTGAAACCATACGTGGTTGTCATGATTGGAGAACCCCTGGCAAAGAATCTTTTTTTTTTTTTTTGGTCGGCCGTGGGGCTTGAACTCTGGGCCTGGGCGCTGTCCCTCAGCTCTTCAGCTCAAGGCGAGCGCTCTACCACTTGAGCTACAGCGCCACTTCCGGTTTTCTGGTGGTTTATTGGAGATAGGAGTCTCACGGTCTCTCCTGCCCGGGCTGGCTTTGAACCGCGATCCTCAGATCTCAGCCTCCTGAGTAGCTAGGATTACAGGCGTGAGCCACCAGCACCCTGCCCTGGCAAAGAATCTTGCTCAGCCCCCTACAAGGCTCAGAGAACAACCTGGCTGGGTGCCCACTGTACCCACGGGAGATCAGGCCTCAACTGAATCCTATGTAAAAAGAAAGAAAGCATTTTCTTAGAAAAATATGAAGTGCACTGGATGTTGGTAGCTCATGCCCGTAATCTTAGCTTCAAAGAAAGCTGAGATCTAAGGATCATGATTTGAAGCTAGCTCAGACAAAAATCCATGAGTCTCTCATCTCCAATTAACCACAAAATCCTGGAGGTAGAGCTATAGCCCAAGTGGTAGAGCACCAGCCTTGAGTAAAAAAAAGTTCAGGGAGCCGGGCGCCGGTGGCTCACGCCTGTAATATTAGCTACTCAAGAGTCTGAGATCTGAGGATTGTGGTTCAAAGCCAGCCCTAGCAGGAAAGTCCATGAGACTCTTATCTCCAATAATCCACTAGAAAACCAGAAGTGGCACTGTGGCTCAAGTGGTAGAGCTGAAAGAGCGCAGGGACAGCGCCCAAGCCCAGAGTTCAAGCCCACAACCGACCAAAAAAAGAAAGTTCAAGGACAGTGTGCCAGAGCCTGAGTTCAAGCCCCAGAAAGAAAAAGCATGAGAGACAGAGAGAGAGAGAGACAGAGAGAGAAAGAGAGGAGAAGGAGGGAGGGAGGGAGAGGTAGGAAGAAAGGAAGGAAGAGAAGGGAGGGAGGGAGGGAGCAAGGGATCAAGGAAGGAAAGGACGGTTCTAAAAGCTGGAGTCTGACTAGGGGTGCTTTCAGATGCCCACAGTGTCTAGGGACACTCTCTGAACTAAAGTAGAAGAAAATTGGTTGGGAAAGGATTTTGATATGGACCATCTGGGATCATTGGGGCCCACGGTCACTACAGGATCTTCAGAAGAAAGAGTCCGGAGGGTGAGAGACTAAGAGGCCTCACATTGCTGGCTTTGAAAAGGAAGCAAGCAAGCAAGCAAGCAATAAAACTGGGCCACACCTGTAATCCTGGTATTAGGAGGCTGAAGCAAGAGGATTGTGAGTTCATGGCCAAACTGTACTTCATAGTGAGATCCTGTCTCAAAACAGCTGACAAGGCTAGGGGCTGGTGGCTCATGCCCCTAAACTGCTCAGCTGCTCAGGAGGCTGAAATCAGGTTCCTGGTTTGAAGCCAGCTTAGGCTGACAATTTCAAGATTTCCATCTCTAACCCACAAAAAGCCAGAAGTAGAGGCATGGTTCAAGTGGTAGAGCACCAGCTGTGAGTAGAAATAGCTAAGTGAATAAGAGTGTGAGTCTTTTTTTTAAGCCCAGTACTGGGGGGGGGGGGAGGGGGAGAGTTACATGTGCGCGCACGCGCGCGCACACACACACACACACACACACACACACACACACGCAAGGTTATATAGCAATGGAACCCTCAATCCATGATTGGTAGGAATGTAGCATGGCACAGCTGCCATGGAAAGTGGAAGTTCCTCCAAAGGAGAAACAGAATCCCCCAATTCCATTCTAAGGTACATCCAAAAGAATTGCTCAGGGACAACACCTAAGCCCTAAGTTCAACAACCACCACCACCAAAAACAACAACAAAAAAGCTGTGCTAACAATTGACCTGACCTCTGCTACGGGGGCATGAAAGAACTACAGGACTGTAGGAGTGGCATAGGGAGCCTGAATACTGAATCAAGGGATACGGTGGCCTCTAGAAGCTGCAAGGAATGGAGGGCAGATCCTCCCTGGAACCTGCATAGGGTGCAGCCTGCCACACTTGAGCTACCCTACCCTTGGAACCACAAAAAGGAAGGGGTCACATATATTTATTCTTAGGTACCTGGTCTGTGGCACAGCCACTGTAGGAGACAGTCCACAGGACAGGACCAGTTAGTTACATAGTTACAAGTGACAAAAACTTGTCTCCGGCAACATAAAAGAAAAAAGCCAGGTACTGTAGCTCAAGCCTATAATTATAGGCTGGGATCTGAGGATCACAGTTTGATGCCAGTCCAGACAAGAAAGTTTGAGACTCTTACCTCCAATTAACCACCAAAAAGCTAGAAGTAGCTGGGTGCCAGTGACTTACATCTGTAATCCTAGCTACTCAGGAGGCTGGGATCTGAGAATAGCGGTTCAAAGCCAGCTGGGGCAGCAAAGTCCATAAGACTCTTATCTCCAATAAGCCACCAGAAAACTGGAAGTGGTGCTGTGGCTCAAGTGGTAGAGTGCTTACCTTGAGCTAAAGAGAGGAGGGACCGCCCAAAGTTAAATCCCCATGACTAACCAAAAAAAAAAAAAAATGTACTCTTTACCTGACTCAATAATTTTTTTTTTTTTTACAGTCCTGGGCTTGAACTCAGGTCCTGGGCACTGTCCCTCAGCTTCTTTTGCCCAGGGCTAGCACTCTACCACTTGAGCCACAGCACCACTTCCAGCTTTTTCTGTTTATGTGGTACTAAGGAATTGAACCCAGGGCTTCATGCATGCTAGGCAAGCACTACCACTAAGCCACCTTCCCAGCCCCTGTACATCACTTTTATTATAACGATTTAATTTTAAAAGAAGGAAGTAGATCTGTGACTCAAGTGGTAGCATGCCCCGCCTTGAGTGAAAAAGCTTAAGGAACCCCACTCAGACCCTACGTTTAAGCCCCAGGACTCACACAAGAAAAAAAGAAAACAAGTGGCAGGGATTAATTATAATATTGCATGTGGTTATTTATGACCAGCTGACTTTGCTACTCTCCATCATTACCCTTTCTACTGTTTCCTCTTTGGAGCTCCCCAGAGTCCCCATTTTGTGACCTACCTTCCCTAAGGCCCCAGGTGCCACATTCAAGCCTTATCTGCCTTCCCAAGTGGGCATAGCCCATGGACCGGGTGCAGTGAGGCCTACTCTGGCCTATAGGAAGATGACAAACGGGTATTGTCAAGGGACAGGGGCAGTAGCAAACATGAGGCTAGTGATAAACACATTCTGTATATCCTGACAAGCTCATGATGTATCATTCGAGGTATCCACTGCTGGATGGAGTCACCTACTGTGATTGCCAGAAAGGTATTGTGGGGAGAAGAGGTGGCTAGGTGAATCTCAAGCATGGACTCAGGGAGACAGGTAACCAGATAAGTCCTTGCTTAAAATCATCTCATCTCTCTAGTGCCAGCAGGCATCCAACAGGTTACCACTGAGACATAAACAAGTTCCCTGGGGTCTCACTGTTGAGTTCATGTCCCCCAAATTGAGGTCCACATGGGATCGTTCAGTGCTGCCACATTTGGAAGGACAGTCTTTGAAGATGTAATTTAGATAATGTCAAACTGGAAAAGGACAGGTCCTTGCAGTGGCTGGTAATTTGGACAATCACCAGGGAAAGAGCACAGAGAGAGCAGGAATTCCATTCTTGAGGCTGGAAGCCTAAGGTCAATGTGTGGACAGGGCTGGTTCCTTCTGAGGCTGCCAGGGAGAATCTGCCTCTGCCTCAGGCCTCTCCTACCTCGCATCTGATGGTAGCTAGTGAGCCATAATGCTCCCTGGTTTGAAGTCATGTTACTGCAGTGTCTGAGTGATTATCTTTGTTCTCTCTCTTCTGTGAATTGAGGACCTAGAGATGAGGGTCTCAGAGGCTTTTCTCTCCAGGCTGGCTTCAAACCATAATCCTCAAATCTCACCCCTCCTGAGAAACTAGGATTACAGGTGTGAGCTACCATGCCCAGCTCACCTCTGTATTATTTTGGAATTAGGGCACTCAACTAATACAACTTCACCTTTTTTTTTTTGTTGTTATGGGGCTTGAACTCTAGGCCTGGATACTGTCCCTCACCTTTTCAGCTCAAGGCTAGCGCTCTGCCACTTAAGCCACAGCACCACTTCTGGTTTTCTGGTGGTTAATTGGAGATAAGAGTCTCACGGGCCGGCGCTGGTGGCTCACACCTGTAATCCTAGCTACTCAGGAGGCTGAGATCTGAGGATCACGGTTCAAAGCCAGCCCGGGCAGGAAAGACTATGAGACCCCTATCTCCAATAAACCACCAGAAAACCGGAAGTGGCGCTGTAGCTCAAGTGGTAGAGTGCTCGCCTTGAGCTGAAGAGCTGAGGGACAGCGCCCAGGCCCAGAGTTCAAGCCCCACGACTGACCAAAAAAAGAATCTCACGGACTTTTCCTGCCCCAACTGGCTTTGAACCGTGATCCTCAGATCTCAGCCTTCTGAGTAGCTAGGATTTACAGGCGTGAGCTACCGGGCGCCTGGCTCTCATGGTTAATTGAATCTCGCTGACTTTCCTGCCCCAGGCTGGCTTTGAACCGTGATCCTCAGATCTCAGCCTCTTCAGTAGTTAGAAGTATAAGCATAAGCCATTGATGCCCAGCATAGCTTCATCTTTAGATTTTCAACTTTCTCACATCTGCAAAGACCCCTTTTCAATAGATGATGGAGTCCAGGGGTTTTAGGCATCATCAGGATGTAGGCACCTCCTCGTGGAGGCCACTGACAGCCCTCTGCATCCCCCCAGCACAACAGAAGCTCAGTGTCCTCCCCCATATTGTTACCATATTGTCAGAAGACATGCCTGGAGCAGTGAGTCCAGCCGCCCCAGGTGGAGGATGCAACTGCTCTAGGTTGGGGCCATGGTTATTAGTGTTGTAAGCATTCAGGCTTCTGGACTGTGCCACATAGCTACTTATTCCAGGAAGCCAGCCCTAGGGAAGGTCCTCATTTTGTTTGTATCCTAAATATCCCTCTGTGTGTTTCAGATCCCAGGAGAGAGAACAGGTCTAGTGCTATTCTCAAGGCCTTGGGAGTGACTCAACACAGGCCTCCGTCCTGCCCTTAAGGTGACCTCAACAGTAGGTGTTACCAAAATGTCCAACCCCTTCCTCAAGCAAGTTTTCAACAAGGACAAGACATTCCGGCCCAAGCGCAAGTTTGAGCCTGGCACTCAGCGCTTTGAGCTGCACAAGAAGGCACAGGCATCACTGAATGCGGGGCTGGACCTGCGGCTGGCCGTGCAGCTGCCCCCAGGTGAGGAGCTTAATGACTGGGTAGCCGTGCATGTGGTGGACTTCTTCAACCGTGTCAACCTCATCTATGGCACCATCAGTGATGGCTGCACCGAGCAGTCCTGCCCCATCATGTCTGGGGGCCCTAAGTATGAGTACCGCTGGCAGGATGAGCAAAGGTTCCGGAAGCCCACTGCATTGTCAGCACCCCGGTACATGGACCTGCTCATGGACTGGATCGAGGTACAGATCAACAACGAGGACATCTTCCCTACCAACGTTGGTGAGTTGGGTGGCTCTCAGGATCTTGATTTCTTCCTCATGCTGGTGCTGCTTGCATGTGGTCCCAGTGACCTCAGAGCCTGAGCAGACATCACAAAGACCAACCAGCTGGGTGCTGGTGGCTCGTGCCTATAATCCTAGCTATGCAGGAGGCTGAGATCTTCGGATCACAGTTCAAAGCCAATGAGACTCTTACTTCCAATTAATCACCAAAAAGCTGAAAATGGAATTATAGCTTAAAAGTGGTAGAATGCTAGCCTTGAGCAAAAGAAATTTAGAGAAGTGCCCAGGACCTGAGTTCAATCCTGAGTTCAGGACTGGCAAAAATAAAGAAAAGAAAGGGGGCAAAAAAAAGAAAAGAAAGCCGGGCGCTGGTGGCTCACGCCTGTAATCCTAGCTACTCAGGAGGCTGAGATCTGAGGATTGCAGTTCAAAGCCAGCCCGGGCAGGAAAGACCGTGAGACTCCTATCTCCAATAAACCACCAGAAAACTGGAAGTGGCGCTGTAGCTCAAATGGTAGAGTGCTCGCCTTGAGCTGAAGAGCTGAGGGACAGCGCCCAGGCCTGGAGTTCAAGCCCCACGATCGACAAAAAAAAGAAAGAAAGAAAAGGAAGGACCAACCAGTCTCTACTTCCTATTCTCCTTTTTTTTTGGGGGGGGGAAGGGGGGGGATGTCAGTCATGGAGCTTGTCTTTTTTTTTTTTTGGTCTGGTCATGGGGCCTGAACTCTGAGCCTGGGCGCGCTACCACTTGAGCCATAGCACCACTTTCGGCTTTTTTTTTCTGCTTAAGTGGTGCTAAGGAATCGAACCCAGGGCCTCATGCATGCAAGGCACTGAGCCACCTTCCCAGCCCTGGAGCTTGAACTCTTGAGCCTGGGTGCTATCCTTCAGCTCTTCAGCTCAGGGCGAGCCCTCTACTACTTGAGCCACAGCGCCACTTCTGGTTTTCTGAGTGGTTTATTGGCGATAAGAGTCTCACGGACTTTCCTTGCCCAGCCTGGCTTTGAACCGTGATCCTCAGATCTCAGCTGGCATGAGCCCCCAGCGCCCAGCCTGGGCAGGAACATCTATGAGACTCTTATCTCCAATTAACCACCAGAAAACCAGAAGTGGTGCTGTGGCTCAAGTGGTAGACCACTTGAGCTGAAGAGCTCAGGGACAGCTTCCAGGCTAAGGTCAAGCCCCATGACCAACAAAAAAAAAAAGGCTCATGGACTTTCCTGCCCAAGCTAACTTTGAACTGCACTCAGATCTCAGCCTCCTCAGTAGTTAGACTTATAGATGTGAGGGGCTGGGAATGTAGCTTAGTGGTAGAGTGCTTGCCTAACATGCATGAAGCACTGGGTTCAGTTCCTCAGTACCACATACATAGAAAAAGCTGGAAGTGGCACTGTGGCTCAAGTGATAGAGTGCTAGCTTTGAGCAAAAAGAAGCTCAGGGACAGTACCCAGGCGCTGAGCTCAAGCCCACGACCAGCAAAAAAAAAAAAAAGAATTATAGATGTGAGCCACAGGTACCTGACTGGAATGTCACTTTCTTTCCCCCTTTCATTTTGTTTAAGGATGGAGCCCAGGGCTTTGCGTGTGCTAGACAAGCACTTAACCACTGAGGCACAGCCCCGCCCCGTTCACTGAAAGTATCAGTTGAGGAGTTCACATTACATTAACACTCAGCTTTCACCTCTGTCAATTCCAGAACATTCCTGATTCCTGGTTCTGGTCCAAATATTGTCCCATAGTTCCCAACACTTGTTGCAGTGTCAGTTGCATGCAAGAGCCCACATGCCTCCCAGGGCACCAAGGGAAAAGACTGGTCACTCAGGGCTTATCCACTTCTAAGAGATATTGGCTCAAGATGGTGGACAGAAGTCCTCATGGGCAAGCAACCTTGTATCTCTGAGAAAATCCTGACACACAGCCAAGGAAAGGACAGTGTATAAGGAAAGTGTCAGAGCTGGGTGCCAGTAGCTTGGAATCCTAGCTACTTAAGAGGCAAGAGATCTGAGGATCACAATTCAAAACCAGCCCAGGCAGAAAAGTCTGTGAGACTCCTCAGTTTACCAAAAAAGCCAGTAGAGCTGGCTGTGGCTCAAAGTGTTAAGAGTGCTAGCCTTGAGCATAAAAGCTCAGGGAGCCAGGTACTGATGGCTCATGCCTGTAATACTACTCAGGAGGCTGAGACATGGGGCTGGGAAGGTAGCTCAGTGATAGAGTGCTTGCTTTGCATGCGTGAGGCCCTGGGTTTGATTCCTCAGTACCACATAAGCAGAAAAAGCTGGAAGTGGTGCTGTGGCTCAACTGGTAGAGCACTAGCCTTGAGCTGAAGAGCTGAGGGACAGTTCCCAGGCCCAGAGTTCAGGTACCATGACTGGCAAAAACAAAAGGAGGCTGAGGGGCTGGGAAAGTAGCTCAGTGGTAGAGTGCTTGCCTTGCATGCATGAGGCCCTGGGTTTGATTCCCCAGCACCACATAAGCAAAAAGAAAGCCGGAAGTGGTGCTGTGGCTCAAGTGGTAGAGCACTAGCCTTGAGCTGAAGAGCTGAGGGACAGCACCCAAGCCCAGAGTTCAGGCCCTATGACCGAACCCAAAAAAAAAAAAAAAAAAAGGGAGGCTGAGACATGAGTATTGCAGTTCAAAGCAGCTGGGGCAGGAAAGTCCCTGAGAATCTTTTTTTTTTTTTTTTTTTTTGCCTGTTGTGGGGCCTGAACTCTGGGCCTGGGCGCTGTCCCTCAGCTCTTCAGCTCAAGGCTAATGCCCTACCACTTGAGCCACAGTGCCACTTCCAGATTTTTTTTCTGCTTATGTGGTGCTGAGGAATCGAACCCAGGGCCTCATGCGTGCAAGGCAAGCGCTCTACCACCTTCCCAGCCCCTGAGAATCTTATCGTCAATTAACCACCAGAAAACTAGAAGTGGTACTGTGGCTTAAGTGGTAGAGTGCTCACCCTGAGCTGAAGAGCTTAGGGACAGCGCCCAGGCCCAGAGTTCAGGCCCCATGACTGACAAAAAAAAAACCCTCCAGGATGGCACCCAGGCCCTGAGTTAAAGCCAGGACTAACACACACACAAAAGGAACCACTGGGAATAAATCCTGGGCAGCATGAAAGAGGTCTTGAGATGAAGGAAAACATATCTTTGGCCTCATTCTTCTAGAGTGATGCAAACCAGGGAAGGATGCACAAAAGCTATATTTCAGGGAAATGAACCTGAAGTCTGTGTGGTCAGACAAGGTGGTGGACAGTGCCTGTGACCTGCCTCCACACTCCCTCACTGGCCAGATCCTCTGGGCCCAAGTCTTTGGGGTCCCAGCACTTGGCCTGTCCTGCTGTGGCCCCAGGAACAGCCACTGTGGTGCTCCAGTTAGAGAGGTTTTTCCTCTTCTCCTTGTGGGAACTTGGTGCAGCACAACATAGACATGAATAGTTTTTCAGCCTTCCCCCCTACCCCCCACCCAGTCCTGGGGCTTGAATTCTGGGCCTGGGCACTGTCCCTGAGCTGCTTTTGATCAAGGCTAACACTCTACCACTTGAGCCACAGCACCACTTGCTTTTTCTGAATACTTTATTGGAGATAAGAGTCTCACAGACTCCTTCCCTGGGCTGGCTGTGAACCACGATCCTCAGATCTCAGCCTCCTAAATAGCTAGGATTATAGGTATGAGCCACTGGCGCCTGGTCTCCAACCTTTTTTTATTGGTTGTTGCTAATACAATAGAGTATCACTATGTCACCCTGGTTGGCTTCAAACTCACAATCCTCCTGGCTCAGCCTCTTACATGTTGGGATTATAGGCCCACACTCCTCTCTGCTATAAAAGGAAAAACAGAGGCCTACATTGGTTATACTTCCTTGGGTGCAGTTCAGAGTTGTGCTCAGATCATAGACTATTAAATGGAGACCTGGCCAGGTGCTGGTGGCTTATGCCTGTAATCGTAGCTACTCTGGAGTTGGAGATCTAAGGATAAAGGTTCAAAGATAGCCCAGGCAGGAAAGCCCATGAGACTCTTACCTCCAATTAACTACCAAAAAAGCCAGAAGTAGAGCTGTGGCTCAAGTGATAGAGCACTATCCTTAAGCACAAAAGCTCAGAGAAAGTGCCCAGGCCCTGAGTTCAAGCTGCAGGACCAGCACACACACACACACACACACACACACACACACACAAGAGAGAGACCTAGTTTCAGAGAGGATTTGCATTTCACAGCTTCCAGAGGTCCTGCATCCCTTGGCTCTGGACCCCTTCCTCAGAGAAGTCCCATAGCATCCTGTCTCTTAATCTCTTTGCCTTTGACTTCCTGTTTCCTGCTTCTTTTGGGGCTCAGACCATCCAGGACAATTTCCATCTTAAATTCCTTAACTTGATCCCATCTACATAGTTTCTCTGCCACAGGTAGCATGTCTGAAAACTCAGGATTAGGTTGTGGATATCTATGGGCCTTAACTAGCAACCCAATGGCTGGAGAAGCACGGTGCTCTTCAGCTGCATCTCTAGAAGATGTGGTCTAGGTACCCATGGGCTTCTCTGTAATTTATGTCTGTCTATTCACCAGTGGGCACTTGGTGATGTTGGCTGGATTAGGTGATCCACAGCTCCCCCTATCCTGGGAGAAATGCTTAGCTTATACATTTGTAAACCAGTGCTCAGTACCCTGAGAGGTTTGTAGTTTCCTGGACTGAGTAGGACAGGAAGCCATGGTGGGCAAGGAAGCAGCCAAGACTTTAAGGGAGTTCCCTGAAATCTCTGCAAGAAGATGCGAGCTGGGCACTTGTGACTCACGCCTGTAATTCTAGCTACTCAGGAGGCTGAAATCTTGGTTCAAAGTTAGCCGAGCAAGAAAATCTATGAGACTTTTATCTCCAGTTCACCTTCAGAAAGCTGGAAGTAGAGTTCTGGCTTAAGTGATTGAGCACCAGCCTTGAGCAAAAAAGCTGAATAAGAATGAGGTCCTAGGGGGCTGGGAAGGTGGCTCAGTGGTAGAGCGCATGCCTTGCATGCCAGAGGCCCTGGGTTCGATTCCTCAGCACCACATAAGCAAAAAAGAAGCCAGAAGTGGCGCTGTGGCTCAAGTGGTAGAGTGCTAGCCTTGAGCTGAAGAGCTGAGGGACAGCGTCCAGGCCCAGAGTTCAGGCCCCACAACCTGACCCCAAAAAAAAAAAAAAAGAAAAGAAAAGAAAAAAGAAAAAACCAGAAGTGGCGCTGTGGCTCAAGTAGAGCGCTAGCCTTGAGCTGAAGAGCTGAAGGACAGCATCCAGGCCCAGAGTTCAGGCCCCCACAACCGGACCCAAAAAAAAAAAAAAAGAATGAGGTCCTACCGGCAATGGTGGCTCACACCTGTAATCCTAGCTACTCAGGAGGCTAAGATCTAAGGATCATGGCTCAAAGCCAGCTCCGATAAGAAAGTCCCTGAGACTATCTCCAATAAACCACTAGAAAACCGGAAGTGGCACCGTGGCTCAAGTGGTAGAGCACTTGCCTTGAGCTGAAGAGCACAGGGATAGCGCCCAAGCCCAGACAGAGTTCAAGGCCCATGACTGACCAAAAAAAAAAAAAAAAAGAATGAGGCCCCGTTTAAGATCCAGTACTAGCACAAAAGAAGACCACGGAGGGGCTGGGCCACAAGGGGACACAGGCAGGCTGCTGTTCTTGTCTTGGATAAAGAAGCTCCTTTCCAGGGATGATAGGACTCAACACTTGGCTTCAAGAAGAAAGTCATCTTGGGCCGTAGGACATAAGTTTTGTAACCCCAGACAAGTAAGTGCCATACTGACTCTGAGCCTCATGGGTTTATATATTTGTGGTTCAAAGAAGGAGCATGGGCCAAGTATCAGTGGCACACAACACCTGTAATCTTTTTTTTTTTTTTTGGGTCCAGTCGTGGGACCTGAACTCTGGGCCTGGGCGCTGTCCCTCAGCTCTTCAGCTCAAGGCTAGAGCTCTACCACTTGAGCCACAGCACCACTTCCGGCTTTTTTCTTTTTGCTTATGTGGTGCTGAGGAATTGAACCCAGGGCCTCGAGCATGCAAGGCAAGCGCTCTACCACTGAGCCACCTTCCCAGCCCCAACACCTGTAATCTTAACTACTCAGGAGGCTGAAATCTGAGGATCGCAATTCAAAGCCAGCCCAGGCAGGAAAGTCTATGAGACTATTATCTCCAAGTAATCACAGAAAAAGCCAGAAGTGGAGCTGTGGCTCAAGTGGTAGAATGCTAGTCTTGAACAAAAGAGCTCAGGGACCATATCCAGATCCAGGCCCAGAGTTCAAGTCCCAGGACTGGCAAAAACAAAAAAAGAAGGGAACATGGAGCCAGGCGTCTGGGGCTCATGCCTATAATCCTAGCTACTCAGGAGGCTGAAATCTGAGGATCGCAGTTCAAAGCCAGCCTGGGCAGCCTGGGTCCGGTCGTGGGGCCTGAACGCTGGGCCTGGGGCGCTGTCCCTCAGCTCTTCAGCTCAAGGTTAGCACTCTACCACTTGAGCCACAGCGCCACTTACGGCTTTTTTCTTTTTGCTTATGTGGTGCTGAGGAATTGAACCCAGGGCCTCAGGCATGCAAGGCAAGCGCTCTACCACTGAGCTACCTTCCCAGCCCCTCTGTGAAACTCTTATGTCCAATAAAGAAATAGAAAACGGGAAGTTTTGCTGTGGCTCAAGCAGTAGAGTGCTTGCCTTGAGCTGAAGAGCACAGGGACAGCACCCAACCCAGAGGTCAAGCCCCAGAACTGAAAAAAAAAGAAGAAGAAGAAGAAGGAACATGGTCTCAGGGCTGGTCCCTCTCTCCACCCATTCAGGCACACCGTTCCCCAAGAACTTCCTGCAGGCCGTGAGGAAGATCTTGTCTCGGCTCTTTCGTGTCTTTGTGCATGTCTACATCCACCACTTTGACCGCATCGCCCAAATGGGCTCTGAGGCCCATGTGAACACCTGCTACAAGCACTTCTACTACTTTGTCACCGAGTTCAACCTTATCGACACCAAGGAGCTGGAGCCCCTGGTGAGTGGCAGAGTGCAGGCTGTGGGTGGAGGGGAGCCTCCACGGTGCCCTATCTTCTGGGTCAGCCCCTAGGCTTGAGATTTGGAGTAGAAGCATTGCAGATAGGGCATCCACGAGGTGGCCTAGAGCCTGCGTCTTCAGCAGGAGGGGTTCTACCCTAATGTTTTTGGATAGCTGTGGAAGGGGTGACAATGTATACCTCAGGTGCCTAGCCTAGATGTTCTCAGATTGTTGAATATCTACTCTTTTCTGAGAGTCTTGTGTGTGTGTGTGTGTGTGTGTACACATACATACGTACGTATGTGCTTGCGTGTGTGCACGTGCACACACCCAAGCTAGGATTTAAACCCAAAGCCTGGATATTGTCCTTTATTAGCTGTTTTGCCCAAGGCTAGCACTCTTAACACTGAGTCACAACTCACTCTCAGCTTTTTGCTTATTAATTGAAGGATCTCATGGGCTTTCCTGCCTAATCTGGCTTCAAACTATGATCCTCAGCAGCTTATATTCTAAGTGTAAGCCCAGATTTTCTGGTTTTTATGGATATAAAACTCACATAAGCTGGGTGCCGCAGTGGCTCATGCCTGTCTCAGAAGGCTGAGATCTGAGGATCATGGTTCAAAGCCAGCCTAGGCAGGAAAGTCTGTGAGACTCTTATCGCCAATTAACCACCTGAAAACCAGAAGTGGCACTGTGGCTCAAGTGGTAGAGCACTTGCCTTGAGCTGAAGAGCTCAGGGACAGTGCCCAGGCCCAGAGTTCAAGTCCATGACCAACGAAAACAAAACATAATTCAGCCACTTTAGAGTATGACTCATCACCACTTACCACATTGTGCACCCACCACCTCTGTGGAGTTTCAGAACAAATGTCTCTAAAAGTAGCCTTCCCCAGAAGCATTTACTCCACCCCCTCCCTAGAGAACTGTTGTGGGGAAAAGAGTCCACCCAGAGACAGCCTCATGTAAAAAGATGACTTTATTGGGGAATTGGAAGCTGACCGGCCAGGGACGCAGGACAGACTCGAGAGCTGAAACTGCAACCCCGAACAGCCCTCAAGCTAGGGTTTTTTTTGTTTTGTTTTTTTGTCGATCGTGGGGCTTGAACTCTGGGCCTGGGCGCTGTCCTTGCACTCTTCAGCTCAAGGCGAGCGTTCTACCACTTGAGCCACAGTGCCACTTCTGGTTTTTGAATGGTTTTATTAGAGATAAGAGTCCTGACCAGGCTGGCTTTGAACCGAGATCCTCAGATCTCAGCCTCCTGAATTGCTAGGATTATACAGGCATGAGCCACCAGCGCCTGGCAAGCTAGAGTTTTTTAAAGGCAAACTCAATGTGGTCAAGCCTAGCCACACACAGGTGGCCAATGGGATTGTAACACACACGTAAAGACTGCATATTTATGTCAGTGGCCAATGAGGTTACAGTCCATCTCATAGTCACTGTTTGAACTAACCTATCATTTGGTTTGAATTGGCGTGGGAATTTGGGGTCCCCACACAAAGCAGGCGGATATTCTTACTCATGGGGGCTGCATTCCAGAAACATAATGTCATATGCCCCTGCACCTTTGAAGCTGGGGGCTGTGACGTAGACAGCTACAGGAGATTTACTACAAAGATAGCTAAGGAGGATGCACAACGCTGCACGGTATGAGAGCGCCGAAGTCCGTGGGAAATATGTTTTAAGGTCTCCCTATGGCCTCTCTTTGTTTTTAGTAAAGGCTCAGTTTCTCAGCTTAGTTTTTCTCACACAGTCTGGGACCTTAACAGTCTAGCAGACCCTTCCCCCCTACAAGAACCACAATCCACTTCCTGTCTCTGGATTCACCACATCAGTGTGGATTCCCTTGGGGATGGATAGGCCTTAGATAGCAGGACTGGGGTCCCTATGTCAGGGGCTCCCCTGTGACTGCTGATGGCAGGATCCTAGGACTTTTCAGGTGTGCTGCTGGGTCTGGGCTTGGAGAAATCAGAGGAGATACAGGATGGGGCTGCATCCTGGAAAGTTGTGGCACTGGCCTGGATCTCCCTCTGGATGGAACCCTCGTTACTAGCCCTGGCAGAGCTGGAAGGTTGGATGAGTTAGTTGGCTATATAAGGCAGGTTGGAAGCTGTAGCCCAGCACTGACAGCCCACATTTTCTTTCTTTTTTTTTTTTTTTTGTTCTGAGCCTGGGATTCAAACCCAGTACCAGAAGCTTGCTCATTGGCTGCTGCTTTGCCAACAGAGCCATGCCTCCAACCCCATTTCTTTTTTTTCTTTTTTTTGTGGGTCGTGGGGCTTGAACTCTGGGCCTGGGCACTGTCCCTCTGCACTTCAGCTCAAGGCTAGCGCTCTACCACTTGAGCCACAGCATCATGTCCATCTTTTCCTATTTATGTGATGCTGAGGAATTGAACCCAGGGCCTCATGCATGCAAAGCAAGCACTCTACCACTGAACCACCTTCCCAGCCCTCCAACCCCATTTCTTTTTGGTGATATTGGGGTTTGAACTCAGGGCTTTGTGCTTGCTAGGCAGACATTCTGTCACTTGACCTATATCTCCAACCTGACAGCTCACTTTTTATTGTTCTTTAGGATTGTTTGGGGTTTTTCTGTGCCAGTACTGGGGCTTGAACTCTGGACCTTTTGCTCTCACTTTGCTTTTACACTCAAGGATAGCGCTCTACTATTGAGTCACCACTCCACTAATGGCTTTTTGGTTGTTTATTGTAGATAAATGTCTCACAGACTTTCTTGGCCAGGCTGACTTTGAACCACAATCTTCAGATCTCAGCCTCCTGAGTAGCTAAGATTACAGGCATGAGCCACTAGCACCTGGATGGCAGCCCACTTTTTTTTAAGGGTAGAATTAATATTTTATTATTTATAATCAGATAAACTGAGTATATAATCTCCATACTTCATACTTTTGTAAATTAAAAAACTCATAAGTTTTCAAACAGCTGATGGACTGGTAATGTTTTTCAGAAAATGTGACTACAAGCCAGGTGCTGGTGGCTCACACCTGTAATCCTAGCTACTGAGGAGGCTGAAATCTGAGGATCATGGTTCAAAGCCAGCCTAGGAGGAAATTTCATGAGACTCTGATCTCCAATAAACTACAAGAAAACCAGAAGTGGCACTGTAGCTCAAGTGGTAGAGTACTGACCTTGAGCTGAAGAGCTGAGGACAGTACCCAGGCCCAGAGTTCAAGCCCCATGACAAAAAAAAAATACACACACACACACACACGACTACACTAATTCACTAATGGTTGCTTCTAGCTTTTCCTTATTAGCTCCAGAAAATTCTCCCACCATGTCTGGGAATGTGGCTTACTTGGTAGAGTGCTTGTCTGGAATGCGTGAAGCCCTGGGTTCGATTCTGTAGTACCACATAAACAGAAAAGGCCTAAAGTGGCTCTGTAGCTCAAGTGGTAGAGTGCTAGCCTTGAACAAAAAAAGAAACTCAGGGGGCTGGGAAGGTGGCTCAGTGGTAGAGCACTTGCCTTGCATGCCTGAAGCCCTGGGTTCGATTCCTCAGCACCACATAAGCAAAAAGAAAAAAGCCAGAAGTGGTGCTGTGGCTCAAGTGGTAGAGCGCTAGCCTTGAGCTGAAGAGCTGAGGGACAGTGCCCAGGCCCAGAGTTCAGGCCCCAGGACCGGACCCAAAACAAAAAACAACAACAACAACAACAAAAAAGAAGCTCAGGGACAGTGCCCAGGCTCTGATCAAGTTCAAGCCCCAGGACTGGCAAAAAAAAAATAATAATAATTTTCCCACCTTCTGACCCTTTTAAAAAAACTGGAAAATTGGGGCTGGGAAGGTGGCTCAGTGGTAGAGCGCTTGCCTTGCATGCTCGAGGCCCTGGGTTCAATTCCTCAGCACCACATAAGCAAAAAGAAAAAAGCTGGAAGTGGCGCTGTGGCTCAAGTGGTAGAGCACTCACCTTGAGCTGAAGAGCTGAGGGTCAGCGCCCAGGCCCAGAGTTCAGGCCCCACAACTGGACCCAAAAAAAAAAAAAAAACCTGGAAAATTGGCTGGGGGTTTAGCCCAGTGGAAGGACGCCCACCCAGCACACGCAAGGCCCTGGGTTCGGTCCTCAGCCCTGGGGGTGGGGAAGGGACTGGAAAATTGGCATGCATTTGACATCAGTCTGTAGCCACATCCTGACAGTCATCCACATTGACTTTGAGGACTGTCACATTGGGAGAATTTACATGAAAGAAAGGCTTGATCATTTTTCAAGGCCCATACCATGTGGCTGAAAAGTCAACTACTACACGATTATCTCCTGCAGTGTCCAAGGCTTCCTGAAAGGCATCCTTGCTCTCTATCTGCTTCACCAGTCATGGGGCTTGAACTCTGGGCCTGGGCACTGTCCTGAGCTCTTCAGCTCAAGGGGAGCGCTCTACCACTTAAGCTACAGTGCCACTTCCGGTTTTCTGGTGGATTATTGGAGGTAAGAGTCTCAGGAGCCGTACACTGGTGGCTCACCCCTGTAATCCTAACTATTCACTCAAGGCTAAAATCTGAGGATCATGGTTCAAAACCAGCCCGGGCAGGAAAAGCCATGAAACTCTTATCTCTTATCTGATAGTTTATTAAGCTACCAGAAAACTGGAAGTGCCGTTGTGGCTCAAGAGGTAGAGTGCTAGCCTTGAGCTGAATAGCTGAGGGACAGCGCCCAGGCCCAGAGTTAAAGCTCTGGGCTGTTGTGAAAACATGGTCCTTGCTCTATGCCCCCTGTGTTTCTGTGTGTTAATGTGACACCTTTGTGTGTGTGTCTATGTCTGACATCCTACTCACTCTTAACAGAAGGAAATGACCTCTCGGATGTGCCACTAAGAGCCTAGGATGCCCCAGTCTTGGAGACATCTTTGAGATATGCAGCCAAGCGACTGTGAGACCATTAGGAGTCCAGTGGGGACTATGGATCCTCCTTTTCTTCTCTGGGAGCAGCAGCCACAAGTCCTTACCACCTCCCTGAGTCCTGGGCTCCTGAGCTGTCAGCAGGCGGTCTGAACTTGAACTCTGCAGTGTTCTGTGCTCTCAGCAATGGGAAACCCACTCTGTCCATAAACCACAACACCCACAGGAGGTGGGAGAGCTCAACCTCCCACCCCGCGCCCCCCACCCCCGCCCTGGTGGCCCTTCTCAGACTTGTACCCCACCCCCATGCTGACCCTATCTTGACCTCTGACCTTGTGCCTGCAGCTCAGCCTCCTACTTTAGAGCTTCTATGGCCCACTAACAGGTGACTTTTCCAGAGGTACGACCAGGCTGCAGTGCTGTACTCCATAGCATTCCCGTCCAGGTTAGGACTCCAGGTGCTGGGCCCACGTCATCCGCACCTTCCCCTATTACAAAACTTTTTTTTTGGTCAGTTGTGGGGCCTGAACTCTGGGCCTAGGTGCTGTCCCTCAGCATTTCAGCTCAAGGCGAGCGCTCTACCACTTGAACCAGTGCCACTTCCAGCTTTTCTCTGCTTATGTGGTACTGAGGAATCAAACCCAGGGCCTCATACGTGCAAAGTAAACACTCTACCACTGAGCCACCTTCCCAGCCTCAAACATTTTATTTTTATACAGTCTTGCTTATAACGATCTTGAGGGTTTTTTTGTTTGTTTTTTGTTAGTCATGGGTCTTGAACTCTGGGCTTGGATGCTGTCCCTGCACTCTTCAGCTCATGGCAAGCGCTCTACTACTTGAGCCACAATATCACTTCCAGATTTTTAGTGGTTTGTTGGAGATTAGAGTCTCATGGACTTTCCTGCCCGGGCTGGCTTTGAACCGTAATCCTCAGATTTCAGCCTCCTGAGTAGCTAGGATTACAGGCATGAGCCACTGGCACCCGGTTTGAGTTGTTTTTTTCCTAGGTGCTGGTGGCTCACACTTATATCCGAGCTACTCAGGAGGTTGAGATCTGAGGATCATGGTTCAAAGCCAACGCTGGACAGAAAAATTCTTCATCTCTAATTAACCAGCAAAAGGCTAGAAGTAGAAGTGTAGCTCTAGTATTAAAATCACCAGCTTTGAGTGAAAAAACTCAGGGGCAGAGCCCAGTCCCTGAGTTCAAATCCCAGTACTGGCGCACGCCCACACACACACACACACACTACATATATAGTATATATAGTGTGTGTATATATATATATATGTAGTATATATATATATATATATATACATATATGTAGTATGTATATATATATATACTATATATGTAGTGTGTGATATATATAGTGTGTGTGTATATAGCATGTGTATATATACATATGTGTATATATATATAATTTTTATACAGTCTTGCTTACAACCTTCTTGACATGTTTTTTAAAATGTTTTTGCCAGGTGCTAGTGGCTCATGCCTGTAATCATAGCTAATTAGAAGGCTGAGATCTGAGTATTGAGATTAGATTTGAAGATAACAGCCTGGATTAGCTGTTATCTCTTATCTCCAATTAATAAATGGTAGAGCACCAGCCTTGAGTGAAAAAGCCAAACATGAGTATAAGGTCTCTTGGGCTGGGAAGGTGGCTCAGTGGTTAGAGCGCTTGCCTTGCATGCCTGAGGCCCTGGGTTCGATTCCTCAGAACCACATAAGCAAAAAGAAAAAAGCCAGAAGTGGCGCTGTGGCTCAAGTGGTAGAGCGCTAGCTTTGAGCTGAAGAGCTGAGGGACAGTGTCCAGGCCCAGAGTTCAGGCCTCACAACCAGACCCCCAAAAAAAAAAAAAAAAGGATATGAGGTCTCAAGTTCAAGCCTAGTACTGGCACACAATACAAAAGGTTATTTTGTTTTGTTTTGTTTTCTTTTTGTCAGTCCTGGGGCTTGAACTCAAGGCCTGGGTGCTGGTCCCTGAGTTTTTTTTTTTCTCAAGGCAAGCACTCTACCACTTTGAGACACAGAGCCACTTCTAGTTTTCTGGTGGTTTATTGGAGATGAGTCTCATGGAAGGGGCTGGGAAGGTGGCTCAGTGGTAGAGTGCTTGCCTTGCATGCATGAGGCCCTGGGATCGATTCCTTAGCACCACATAAGCAGAAAAAAAGTCTGGAAGTGGTGCTGTGGCTCAAGTGGTAGAGTGCTTGCCTTGAGCAAGCTCCCAGACCCAGAGTTCAGGCCCATGACCAACCAAAAAAAAAAAAGTCTCACGGACTTTCCTGCCCAGGCTGGCTTTGAACCGCAATCTTCAAATCTCAGCCTCCTGAGTAGCTAGGATAACAGGTATGAGCCACCAGTGCCAGACTAGTTTTTAACCAATACATCATGGCACCCTCTCTTCCCCCACCCCCTTTGAACAGCCCAAGACTGAGTTCCTCCAGCTGCCTTTCTCCACTCCTCACTGTGAACTTTGTAAAGGCCCTTTATGGGTACCCTCCCTTACTCCCTAGGGGCCAGGCCACAGGACCAACCAAACTAAAGCAGACCCCAAGAGGGTCTGTGACCAAAGGGATTGTTAGTGGACCATGACCCCCAAAAATTGTTGTGATTTCCCAGTGTCCAGGAAGCTCAGAGCTGAACAAGTGCCATTAACAGAGTGTCACTGCCTGAGCTTGAAGCTCTGAAACTCACTCGCAGAAAGTTCTTCCAGAAGCCACCAGCACAGGTGGGTACTGAAGCCCTGGGTGGACCCAAAGGCCAAGCCCTCAAGAGCCTCAGAGAGCCAGGAGTGGCTTAACTGAATGTATCTCCTACTCACAAACACCGCAGCCAGACCCTACCACCACTGTGCCCACCACACTGATGTCCTAGCAAGCAAGCAACCTGCCCAGGGGAAAGGTCCTCCTGAAGAAGTCCTCGTTCCTCTTACTCTATCCTGTCCCTGAGAAGCCCTTCCCTACCCTCATATAGACATCAAAATAAAATGTCATTTTCATACCCAGAGCTGCTGGCTATCATTTATTTGTTACCCCAAAGAGTGCCTGGGGGCCCCAGACATAGATTTTAGAAGAGAAGTCACTGTAATTATCTCTGGATGAGGCACTGATGGCTCATGCCTGTAATTCTAACTACTCAGGAGGCTGAGATCTGAGGATCATGGTTCAAAGGAAAGAAAGTCCATGAGATTCTGGTCTCCAATTAGCCACCAGAAAAATGGAAGTAGCACTGTGGCTCAGAGTGGTAGAATGCTAGCCTTGAGCTGAAAAGCTCAAGGACAGTGCCCAGACCCTTAGTTCAAGCCCCATGACCGACCAAAAAAAAAAAAGATTAATGGATGTAGTTTATATTTCAGAGGTTGGGAGGACTGAAGCAGAAACATCTAGAAAAAAGAGGTTGAAAACTAGGCACTGGTGGCTCACACCTATACTTCTACCTACTCAGGAAGCTGAGGTCTAGTATCAGAGTTCAAAGCTAGCCCAGGCAGAAAACTGTGAGACTTTTTCCCCCACTTTGGTTGGTTGTGGGGCTTGACTTTGTGAGATTCTTATCTCTAGTTAACCACCAGAAAACTGGAAATGGAGCTGTGGCTGAAAGTGGTAAGTGCTAGCCTTGAGCAAAAGAGCTCTGGGACAAGGCCAAGGCCCTGAATTCAAGCCCCACAATCAACAACAACAAAGCTCAGAGACAGTGTCCAGGCCATGAGTTCAAGCCCCAGGACTGGCACGCACATACACACACACAAATCCTCCATCCCTATTAGTAGTCACTCAGCCCTTGGCCCTCATGAGTCCAAGTACCTGGGCCCTGGTTCAAAACCAGTGACGGACAAAAAAAGGAAAAAAGGTTGAGGGCACTGATGAGTAAGGGACCTCACAGACTTCAGTTTTTATTTTGTCTGTTTCTTTCCACTACAACCCAATCTCTACCTTACTTGTTCCATATAACTAAAGGGCCAGGCACCAATGGCTAATACCAATCATCCTAGCTACTCAGGAGACTGAGATCTGAGGATTATGTTTTGAAGTCAGTCAGCCAAGACGTGAAAGTCCATGAGACTGTTATCTTCAATCAACCCATAAAAAGCTGGAAGTGGAACTGTAGCTCAAGTGGTAGAGTGCTAGCCTTGGACACAAGGGACAATGCCCAGGCATTGAGTTCAAGCCCCAGGACTAGAGGAAAGCAAGGAAGCAAGCAAGAAAAAGGAGGCCTAGATTTGAGGATCACAATTCAAAGCCAGCCCAGGAAGAAAAGCCCATAAAAGGCTGAGAATTGGATAAGTGGTAGAGTGCTTACCTAACATGCATGAAGCCCTGGGTTTGATTCCTCAGTATCAAACAGATAAAGCCAGAAGTAGTGCTGTGGCTCAAGTGGTAAAGTGCTAGCCTTGAGCAAAAGAAGTCAGGGACAAGCCCTTCAAACCCCAAGACTGGCAAAAAAAAAAAAAAAGTTCATGAGACTGTATCCAGTTACCCTCCAAAAAGCAGGAAGTAGCGTTGTGCCTCAACTGGTAGAGTACCAGTCTTAAGTAGAAGAAACCAAGTATGTGAAAGCTGAGTTCAAACCTATACTGTCAAACACAGTAGCTTGGTGGTGAGCACTTGCCTTGCCTGAGTCTGTACCCAGTATCACAAAAAAGAAGACAATACAAAAAATGGTTTCAGTAGCTCCTCTCAAGATAAAAATTCCGGAAGTGGCGCTGTGGCTCCCCGGTAGAACGCTAGCCTTGAGCTGAAGAGCTGAGGGACAGCGCCCAGGCCCAGAGTTCAAGCCCCACGACTGACCAAAAAAAAACAAAAAAAGAATGGAGGATTTTGGGCTGGGAAGGTGGCTCAGTGGTAGAGCGCTTGCCTTGCATGCCAGAGGCCCTGGATTCGATTCCTCAGCACCACATAAGCAGAAAGAAAAAAGCCGGAAGTGGCGCTGGGGCTCAAGTGGTAGAGCGCTAGCCTTGAGCTGAAGAGCTGAGGGACAGCGCCCAGGCCCAAAGTTCAGGCCCACGACCGGACCCAAAAAAAAAAAAAAAAAGATAAAAATTCCAGTTGGAGCAGACACTGGTGACTCATGTCTGTAATCCTAGCTACTCAGGAGGCTGAGATCTGAGTATCACGGTTCAAAGCCAGCCCAGGCAGGAAAGTCCCTGAAACTCTTTTTTTTTTTTTTTTGTCGGTCGTGGGGCTTGAACTCTGGGCCTGGGCGCTGTCCCTCAGCTCTTCAGCTCAAGGCGAGCGCTCTACCACTTGAGCTACAGCGCCACTTCCGGTTTTCTGGTGGTTTATTGGAGATAGGAGTCTCACGGTCTTTCCTGCCCGGGCTGGCTTTGAACCACGATACTCAGATCTCAGCCTCCTGAGTAGCTAGGATTACAGGCGTGAGCCACCAACGCCCGGCAGTCCCTGAAACTCTTATCTCCAATAAGCCACTAGAAAACCAGAAGTAGTGGTGTGGCTCAAAGGGCAGAGCACTCGACTTGAGCTGAAGAGCTGAGGGACAGTGTCCAAGCCCAGAGTTCAAGCCCCACGACCAACTAAAAAAAAAAAAATCCAGTTGG